GAAGGAGTCCATAAGTTCTCAGAGAAAAAGTTGTAAAAATGCAAAACCAAACCATGTGTCCTAAGACTTTCATTAATAACCACATGAATGGATTTAGGTACATTTCCATCCTGGTATAGCAAAGCTTTAAATTGAGTCTCTTTCTCCCTCCTGCCTTCCATATGTACATGGTTCTGGAGGAAACACTTTTTTGAGTATAGACAAGTAAAATCTCTAGACTCCAAAAATGTCTCAGTGGTATTTGCCAACGCAGTACCAGCTCTGTGTCTCACCGAACACAAAAGTCTGAAGATAAAAACAGGTTCATGGGGAGAAAAATGAATTCTAGTTCTATTCACAAGCAATTCAAATGCACTTCTCAGACTTAGATTTATGGTTCTTTCTTTGCTCTTATATATTTCAGGGCCAGCTTTCATGTTCCATTTTCTACACCTCAGATAGAATATTGAGATATGTTTGGCACTGGATATGAGAGGTTATGAGGAAAGAAATTCTACATAAGAAGGTAGATGAAAATCATCCTTCTTTTCATTGTGGTGTGTAGATGAGGAGAAGCTGAGAAAGCATGCCAGAGGGGAAGAGAGAGCTTATTCCTCTAAACACTAGACCTCCTAGGATGGCACTGCTTTCAAACTCAGCAGCAACACTTGATTATGGCTTAACCTGGATATAGAAACGTTGGTTGCTCTACTAACCAAAAATAAAGAGAGAAGCTGCCACACACCAGCTTTTTCTGAAGTTTTTGTTTTTCTTTCTGACAAACATGTAGATCAACACTGTTTTAAAAAAAAAAAAGGCTATCCGGGAAATGGTACAGACAAGAGATGTCTGGATTCACCAATCAAGCATGCAAAAGGAACGTTCTATTAGCACTCCCAACCCCTTCTGTCTCAGTCATGAGGAGTGGAGGAGGAAGACTGAAACCACAGCCTTAAGGCACTGAGACCAGATTAAAAATGGTTCTAAAAAGAACCTTGCTGGTTCTATGCCCACATCCCTGCCTCCCTCTTTTTTCCCTGTTAGGATCATGAAGCACAACGTAAGTGTCAGAAGAGTAAAATGTACAGCATAGTTGACTAAAGCAGAAAAGTCTCATAATCCTGTATTAAGGCCAGAGGAAATCAAAATGAACTCAAGCTGCAACATGTGCTCATAAAAAAACCTCTCAATTGGATTTCATAAGAAATATTGATCTCGAACTCTGAATCCTTTCACTGTGGTCACCCCATATGGTTGGGGTGAATCCTTTCTATGCTGGAATTCCTCTGATGGCCCCAATTCATGTGGATAAAAGACAACATAGGAGTAACTTTAAACAAATTATACCTGAGGCTGCTTAAAAAGCAACTCAGAGTACTCCTGCTGAAAGAATGAAGATGTTTAAAAAGAATAGATAAGAAAACTGTCAATGTTATCAATGGAATGCTCCAAAATGACATTTGGGTAAAGTCTGATTTAAATACACTTGGTTATAATAAAACTGTCATCCTACCATGTTTAAACATCGATGATACACTTTACATTATTTCTCTAGTAAATATACTATTCAAGATCGGTGATCTTACTCACTGGAATAAGTTATATACCTTCCAAATATGACCCAAAGAATAATCCATTAAAAGTGGTTGTGTTTAGTACTTGAATTTAGACAAGATCTGGTCTTCTGTTAAACATCTGTTAAAGGGTGTTTTCTGCTGAGTAAAACAACAATCCACATTTGCACTGACAACATTCTACACACACGTATGCATTTCAAGTGTGAAAACACAATTCAATGTGCCCTAAAAGGATGTTTATACACTGGTCAAAATTATTGTCTCTCTACTGTCTACAGTAAACCTCCCTTCGGACTAAAAAATTTGTAAACTAACCCTACACTTACAGCTGCAGAGACATTTTGTAGGAAATAATCTCTTAGAGGCAGTATGTTCAAGATATTTGTTTTTAAAGCTTCTGAAGGAAAGGCAAGTCCTGGGAATCCAAGAGACCCCAGCAACATAGAATGTTTTGGTCTGGCTCACATTCTGAAAGTTGGAGAATGGGAAGAGTCCACTTCCAAGCCCCTCTCCTCCTCCACCTTGCAAGTTCAAGCTTTCTTTGTTGTCAATCCTACAGAAAATCAGAAACAGTCTCCTAAACTGGGCCTTCCCATATCAAATGTAACTTTTGCTTACAAAAATCCTATTACTCATTTGCAAGTGTGTTTATTCTAGAGTGAACCAGTCTCTTCCACTCCAAAGAGCTACACTGCCTTTACAGACAGTATCCTTCTGATCTACCTAAGATGAACACAAAGACTCATTCTACAAGCCTTGTGTTCAATTCAAAAGCATAGACCCTGGCAATTTCAGAATTTGTAAGACAGTCTCAAGAAAAAAAAAAAAAAGCATCACTGTCAGCTGTCTTCAGAGGCTACAATACAACCCATGACTTTCATTTAATAAAAAAAAGAAAGAAAGAAAAGAAAAAGCATCTACTGAAGTCTAAAGGTAGCAGCTAGAAAAAAAGGGGACTTTCTCTCCTGGGAACTTTGGTGACATAATCAAAACAAGTGAAAAATATTAATGCAAGATATTCAGGCCATTCTTCAGCAGTGTTGATGATCCCTCAAATGAAACCTTTATTTCCTTTTGTTAATCACCCTGCAATCTTGTACTCAAGAAATAATTAAATTATCATTTTTCTTTAAATTACCATACAACCTGCCTATTTAAACTCATCTTTTATGGAAACTACCTAATCTTCCTTTCATTAAAATTTCCCTTGTTGATATAGACAAACCAGGTCAGCCTCTGCTGGATTTCCATACTCCTAAATCCCTTAATTCAACTCTTTGCCGGAGGTTTAAAAAAGAGCAGGAGCTGAAGCTCAGATACACATAAAACAAATACTGCTTATATGTCTAAGCGAACATTGACACCATTTACAGGTTCCCCCTCCCTTTTCCTTAGGGCTGAGAGCCCTGTCAATAATCATTATTTATTAAACACACTGCCATTCCCTTCTACAGAATGTAGGAAGGGAGTATGGAGGGGTAGAAATAATTACCTTGGGCTTTTCTTTAAAGACCTCTAGAATAGAAAGCAAGGAAATCAATTGAGAAAGAACATGAACTATCCCCTATAAGCAACCCTCCCCCGACATACACACAAGGCTGAGAGGTATACCCATACTCCATTATTTATATCAACTGTATCAAAAGAAGAGATAAAAAAACAACAACAAAGAAAAAAAAACCTGGGGTCTTCAGGATAAATGCATCTATTTTCAATCCACTGAATGTTCACACATACACTTGCGCATCCTTTACCCATCCACCAAACTCAAGCAGCTAGATTTGCTGAGAGAAGCCTCTACACACCTCCTGAGAAAATGTGCTCTCAAAAATGACTGCTTCAGCCAAAGCAGAGAAGCAGCAAGTTACCGGCTTGCCTGCCATTCTGCTTTGTGGCAGATTCTCTTCATTCTCCTCACCTCCCTGTCTCCCAATTTATCTTTTTAGCCTGTTTTGTTCCCCAGAGCAAAGTAAAAACATCAGGAATGTCTCTCCTTGGACTTTACCCTAACAAATCCAAAAAAAAAAAAAAAGTTTCAAAGGTTAAATACCACCCCAGGTAAACCCATAGGTCAAGGAAATGAAAATTTCCCAGATGACTGGAAGCTTGGTATTCCTACTCAAGAGTTAATGATGAGCACTCTTCCTTTCCCTCCAGATGCTGTGGCTCAAAACAGAAATACAATACAAGGGAGGCACTGCCAGGCAGTTTGGGAGAAAAGCCTTGCATAGAACTTGAACTGGCAGGCTGGGGGGTTTGTCCTAAATAACCTTCACAGGTTGCACAAACTGTTCTCAGATCCTGATCCACAGTCAGATTAAGAGGCTGCCTAAAATTCTCTTAGAATAAGAACGAGGTGGGGTAGTGGGAGAGTGGTGGGACTCAATTAGTCATCTGAAACATTTTAAAAGATACAGAGGAAATACACACCTCCCAGACAGGCAGAAAGCTCTCATGCTTGGGGTAACTGACCAGTGCTGGCAGCAACTGAGACAAGGTTGAAGAAGCTATATTCAAAGAGTGACCTGTTTCAAAGGAGTTGGATTTTCTCATTCTTGAGTGCAGGAAACTCTGTCCCATTTTGCCTAAATTTTTCAGGCATAAGGGAGGGGAGACGAGGTTCACACCCCACCTTTGGGAAAGGAACAAAGCAAATGCTTGGGCAGAGCTGAAAAAACTCCTCCTCCCAGAGAAAAGGCAGCTCCGAAGGGCTCCCTTCATAATTCCCCTTAGTTAACTCACTCTCGGCAGACAGAATCCTTTTCTACATCTTGGCTTGTCCACGGGCAGGGTAGGTGGTTATCAGTTTAGCCCCTCCGCCATGGATCGCCTCCTTTCCCCACCTCCCACAATGGCTTCTAATTAACCCTTCCCGGTCCCTGCCCGGGTCAGGGCTGCTGGAAGTGTCCACAGCTTCACTGTACCAACATCTCCATCAAATGACCACACACAACCCAGAGCCCACCCCCACACGGACACAACTTCCCTCCGCGGTTTAACGTCGGGCAATGCATGTGCATTTCCCTCACTGCTTCCTACATGCGGGGAAAGGGCTCCGTCCTTTGGGGAAGGCCCTCCCTTCCTCCCCAGCTCTCCTCTGGAGCTGGATCCCAGAACTCGACAGCAGGTCTGCAGTGAAGAGGGATCGCACTGGCTTTAACCCCTTGAAGGGAGTTAGTTCTCATTTGGGACCCAGTGAAGTAGGGCCCGTGGAGCCTGGCTGACAATCTCCCTCTGCTTCACTCCACCTTTTCCCCTCACAGGGGAAAAGACCGGCACCTTTTTCCTCCCCCGCGGCTAGTTTAATTCTCTCTCTCTATGTTCCAATCCGGGGCGGGGGGTGGGGGGCGGATAAAGGATGCTCGAAGCCGCGAGGAGAAAAGACAGCAGGAGGGCAGAAGGGAAACTCCGCAGTAAATCAGAGTTCAGACAGTGTTTACTTACGAGATTTGGGGCTGGTGCTAATTTCTGGCGCGGTGGTGGTGGAGGAGGAGGGCGAGGGGGAAGAGGAGGCGGCCGCATCTTGAAAAGGAGACAGAGTCCAGGAAGGAGCAGAGTCGTGAAGGTAGGAGGAGGTAGCGTATGCCGCAGTGGGCCAGGAGGGCATGGCCTGGGTACTGGGGGTTCCTGGCACCGGGGGTCGGGAGCCCGGAGTGCTGCTACTAAAGAAAAGGGCTGTCGTGGACAAGACCGTCGGGGGGGCCGCAGTGTTCCGTGCCGTGGTGGAGCGCGGGCTGGCCCGGATGGGCACCCGGTGCCCGGGGAAGCGAGTGGGCGCCCGCGTGATGGTAGTCAGGCGGGTGCTAATCCGGTTGGGCGTCCTGGAAGAGGCGGCGCCGCCGGCGAAAGGGGTGGCGGGGGACGTGGTGGAGGTGGTCGTGGTGGTGGTCTCCATGGCCTTGGGGAAGGAGCTGGGCTTGGAGAGGAAGAAGGGGTCCTGGCCCATCCCCTTGGAGTCCACCAGGTCGGTGGGCACGTATTCCTTGACGGAGCCCACCACGATCCATTTGAGCAGCATGAGGCTGAGCCCCAGGCCGATGAAGCCGATGAAAAGAGGCACCACGCACAGCCACGTCTGCTGCCGGTTCCACACGATGCAGTCGCTACAGCGTAACTCCCGGGGGGGCTCGGCCGCCCCTTCGCCGCCGCCGTCCGGGCCCCCGCCCGCCGCCGCCGCCGCCGCTGCAGCCGCCGCGGTGCCCTCCTCGGCCGAGGCGGCGGCTGCCGAAGCGGCTCCAGGTGGCGAGGCAGCGGCCGCCCCTTCACTCATCCTAGGAGCCGGTCTTCACCTTCGCCCCCCCGAGGGCCGCGCCAGAGGCATGGGGCCGCGCGGGCCGGGCGCGGGCGCGGGCTCCGGCGGCGGCGGCGGCGGCGGGCTCGGGCGCAGGCAGCGGCCGCGGCGGCCGCATGCAAATCGGCTCCCTGCCCCCACGCCCCTCCCCCCGAGAGGCGGGCGGCGGGCGGGGAGGAGAGGAGCGGGGGAGGGGACGCGGGCCGGGGAGGGGGCGGCGAGGAGCGCGGAAGAGGGGCGCGACGGGCCCCCGGCACCGCCGGCCGGTCAGGGAGCGGCGGGGCGCGTCTGCTGCCCGCCAAGCGGCCTCCTGCGCGCCGGGGCCCCGCGTCTGCTGCTGCTGCTGCTGCTGCTGCTGCCCCTGCTGCCCGCCGCCTGCAAGCGCTCCAGCCGCGCCGGCATCCTCAGGGCTCCGCACCCGGCCCGCTCCCCCGGGCGCCCGCCCGCGCCGCCTCTGGGCCTCGCGCCGCCTTCAGGGGCCGAGCCGGCCTCCCGCGGCACGCTGGGCGCTGGAGAGCCGCATTCCGACACAGGGGGCCGGCCTGGCCGCCGCCGCACGCCCGGCCCGCCGCGCAGCGTTCCTCGGCGGCTGCTCCGCGAGTCCGGGCGGCAAGGTGCACCTGTTCTTCAGCCGGCCCACAGCCAACCCTCGGCCAGCACCGTCTGCGAGAGACCAATCCGAGCGCAGCGCGGAGGGCGAGCGGCCGGGCTCGCCTCGCTCCCGCCGCCTGCGGCTCGGCGTCGGCGCCGCTGCCCCAGAGAGTCAAACTCCAGCGAGCTGCGCCGCCGCGAGCCCGGGCCGGGGACGCACGGGGCGCCCGCGGAGGGTGCTGTCCGACCCGCCGCGAAGGGAATCCCGTCAGTCCGCAGAAGAGTCGGGGCACTACCCGGCGCCCCTGCCCGTTCACACTCCCAAGTGGGAGACGCGAAACGGAAGACCCTGTCGGGGATCCCGGGAAACAGGGACCCCGGGCTGGAGGCGACTCCAGGCGGGCGCTGGCAGGCAGGAGGGTGCGGTGTGCGCGAAGCCGCGGCGGACGGGCTGGGCTTCAGGCAGAGTAGCGCCTCCCACCATCACCCAGTGGTGGTTTCTTAACGGGTACAAGATAAATAAATGATCCAAGCAAACCCCCACTTGGAAGTGGCAAAAGCAGCTCCCGACCCGCGGATCGTGAGCCCCTCTCCTTGCGGATGCAGTGGGGTCAGAGCCTGACGCTGCGGGGCGAGAGAGAGGGGGTGTGTGCGCGTGGGAGGGTGTCTGTGCGCTTCTCTGCGTGAGGGCGGGCGCTGCTAGATGCAGAGCCCTTTCCCTCCGACTTCCTAAAAGAGATGTTGGTGAAACAGACCTTTGTGCAGTTACACCTGGTAGGTGCCTCGTAGCCGATTTGTAATAACTTACCTTTTAAAATATCGTCTAAATGTAGACGTACGTGCAAGTGCACACGTCACAGGACAACTGATTGTGAAAGGTAACATTTTAAACGATTTGGGTTGGTATACAAAATTCTTTTCTCTTCCTTTGGATATAGAGGCACCTGTGTACCTGTGTCTCAAGAGCAGTGTGGGACCAGCTTAAGAAGGAGGGATGAGGGTAAAGAGCCAACATCAGCATGGTTTATGCTGATGGTGCAAAACCTCGCTAGTCATCTCTTCCCAGATTTCCTGGTCTAAACTGGAAACCGGAAAGATGTTTTACAAGCTCTAAGACAGAGAGGTTGAGGATGGCAGCCTCCCAATACACCTCCCTGCACTGTATGATTGGCGCTGCTGCTGAAAACAGCGTTGGCTTGTAATAGTTACCCCAAAGATGAAGTTTTCCAGGTGTCCATTTTATTCACAGGTGGAGAGCCGAACAGTACAGTGAAAAGACTGCAAGAGGACGATACATTGAAACAGGAAGCCTACCAGAATATTTTGAACAGATACGGTTAATAAATTACTTTTGGTGGCAGTAATGCGGCTGTCACCTCTTCCGACTATAACATTAAGATTTTCCCCATAGGAAAGCTTTTGATTTTTAGTTTGATAGAACATGCCCTAATCCAGTAGTGCTGAGTTAGTTACAAAAACTGCAAGTGAAAAAAAAAAAAAAAAACCCACCCCACAAGCCCTTGAATCTATATTCGTTCAGCTTTCCATCAGTGAGTACTATTAGTACAGTTTTATATTATGTAGAATGTAGGTATTAAAATTTCATATCCTAGGTGAGAAAAACAGAGGCCCAGGGCGACTTTATTGCTTACAGGGAGCAGAGCTAATATTTGAGTCCCTGTCTTCAGAGCCTGAAGCTCTTTGTCCAGCGTTATACAAATGCAAGGCACAGTTCTCGTAAGTGAAAATTGACCCAGTCTCTAGCATCTGTGGGTGCTGGGCGGTTACTGGCCAATCTTTCCTGTGTCGCAAGTGAAAGTTAACTTTCACACAAATATTGTGAAATTATAGCAGGTGCTGCTGTTGAGTATATAAGACTGAAAATTACTTTTCCAAAACATTACTAATTCATTGGTCCCCCATTATTCCTATGGCCCTTCCATTCTTCCTTCCCCACTGAAATAAATCTAGTGTACAAAAAGGGATGTTGTAATGCTGCTGTGGAGCAAATGCTCCCCTGAAATTGCATTTGCCCAAAACTCCCCCCATGTTGTCTCAATGCTCCCCAATGCCTTCTTCATCTACTTCTCAAGCTGCCTCCACTTCTCATTTCCACTTGGCTTTAACAGCTTATTCACAGTTCCCTGTTCAGCTCATTTTCTCCCAGCTCCCAAGCCTCTACACTGGACTACCCATTAGCTTCTCTCATGATGAACATCATCACTAGTTGAAGAAGGTAAAGAAAAAGAAAAAAAAGAGCCCATTACTTTGATAGCCTTGTACTGGGGACCAGGTTGTATCAGCCCATCTAAAAATCTCTGGCTGGTACAATCATCATTAATTTGCAGTTTCACTGTGAGGCTCCCTGGTAGCAGGTGGTAATCACTAGAACTGGAATTGGGGGCAGAGGGTTCCACAGCTGAGTCAAGGGCAAGTGGTGGACACTCTCACTGCCAATGAGCAGCCAGCTGCTTAGTTCCATGGTAGGACGGAGTCTCAGTTTGGTAACTCACAGCTCCCTGAAGCAGAACTCTGGCCAAAGAGTTTCACACTCGGGCTCTGAAGACAGGGACTCAAGTATCAGCTCTGCTCCCTGCAAGCAATAATTTCACCCTGGACCTCTTGTTTTTCTCACCTAGGATATTAAACTATAATACATACATTCTACATAATATAAAATTGTATAGCTAAATGTATTAATACTACTCACTGATGGCATCTTTTCAGCACGACTTTTAAAATACACTAGAAGCCAACTTTATTAATATGTATTAAATTATCACATAGTCTAAATAAAGCCTTTCCAAATCTTCTATATGGTCCTCAATCAAAATACAGATTATAGAGACTTCCCTGGTGGTCCAGTGATTAAGAATCTGCCTTCCGATGCAGGGCACATGAGTTTGATCCCTGGTCAGGGAACTAACATCCCACATGCCACAAGGCAGCTAAGCCCTCAAGCCACAACTATTGAGCCTGTACATGTGCTCAAGCTCCAGAACCTGTGCTCTGCAATAAAGAGCCTGCACACACTGCCAGTGAAGACTCAGAGTAGCCACAATAGAAAAAAAAATTTTTTTAATAAACAGAAAAAACAGATTACAACTTTCAAGGTACATTCTTGTTCTTCTGATATAATTATCTGAAAATTATGCCTCCTATGGTTTTTAATACTGAGGCTAATTATTTAGCAAAGATAGCTGTCATGACTTATTAGGGAAGAGTTACCCATACTTTTCCAAACTGTTCTTGGCAATCTCTACCTCCTGTAGAGAGGGATGTGGATTTTCCTAAGAAATGGGCATGGTATAACTCAGCATCTGCTGATCTGTATAGCTGCCTGAATATGATCTCCTTCTAGATGTCTCCTGTCTGATACACCAACACATTAAATTCAGAATTTCTAATGATGATTTAAAGCATTTCTGAACTACATGTCTGTTAAACTACAATTTTTCCCTTCAGTGGCATCAATATCTCATATCCCAAGTTCAATTATTCATCATCATTACACAGTACGACAGTCCTGGGTTTCCTCCTCTGTAAATTCTTTGGCAAAGGCCCATCCTTAGAACCACAAGACTGGAAGTGAATTTTGTGGCCACACGTCCAGTATGTTCATGCCTCAGAATACCCCAGGCCAGCAGTCATAGAATTTAGCCTGAACTCTAGAGAAGGTGCCACTTTGTGCTCTAGAGAAGACCACAGCCTACAGACAGTATACAAGTGCAGAGTTAATTTTAAAATTCTTTGGGTTGAATGAAAAACCTGCCTTCCCATGCTGTTTATTGTTCGGTCACTTAGTCATGTTCAAATCTTTGCAACCCTATGGACTAGAGCACCCCAGGCTTCCCTGTCCTTCACTATCAGAGTTTGCTCAAATTCATGTCCATTGAGTCAGTGATGCTATCTAACCGTCTCTTCCTCTGCCGCCCTCCTCTTCTTCTTCCTTCAATCTCTCCCAGCATCAGGGTCTTTGCCAATGAGTCAGCTCTTCACATCAGGTGGCCAAAGTATTAGAGATTCAGCATCAGTCCTTCCAATAAATATTCAAGGTTGATTTCCTTTAGGATTGACTGGTTTGATCTCCTTGCAGCCCAAGAGACTCTCAAGAGTCTTCTCCAACACCATAATTCGAAAGCATCAGTTCTTCAGCGATCAGCCTTCCTTATGGTCCAGCTCTCACATCCGCACATGACTACTGGTAAAACCATAGCTTTGACTATACAGACTTTTGTCAGCAAAGTGATGTCCTACCATACTCACATTCTTTCTTCTTAGCTCATTCATGATAGAAATCTTGCAGGAACTAGGTGCCAGGCATGGAAGATGCAACAAAAAACAAAACAAAGCTCCCTAGCTTCATGGGACTTTTATTTTAGTGGAAG